TGATTTTAATCATCATAAATTTAGGTATGGATCAACTTTATAATTTACCAATCTGCAAATAAGTCATAAAACGCGTCAAGATATGAAAAATATTTAAACCATTGATGTTGTTTTTGTATCATGTTTGAAGAAACATTAGGCTACATAAAAACTCCCCCAGTATCTTTTCTCGACACATTCATCTAAGGTCGCTGCTTTATTCAACACTGATCACTCCAGTCCAACTCACCGGAGCCGAATCCCGGTACTGATCACACTGTTCCTGGTCCTGATCACACTGTTCCTGGTCCTGATCACACTGCTCCTGGTCCTGATACCCTCTGATCCCGGTTCTGATCCTTCAAACTGTTGACTGACTCCGACGAGTCCGTCAGATCTGAAACTCCGGTTCACGTCCTGCTGCTCCAATCAGCGAGGACCAAAGACCTCTCTCTCTCTCTCTCTCTCTCTCTCTAATTAAAACATGAACGTGTGTGTGTGTGTGTGTGTGTGTGTGTGTGTGTGTGTGTGTGTGTGTGTGTGTGTGTGTGTGTGTGTGTGTGTGTGTGTGTGTGGGGCCAGGTGTTACGTGAGTGAAAATCACACGTCAGCTCTGTGATTTTACTCAGAGTGGATCATCTGTATCAGAGAACATCTCTGATCATCAGCTTGACACAGAGCACCCTCTGTTGGTCACAGTCAGAAATCACAATTTTTTTTTTAACAAATCAGATTTATTCAATGAAAGATTGTGTCGTTTGTACCTTCAGACGGTACGAAACATGTGACAGAACAAAGAAATGAAACTTAATCTAACATAGACTTTTTGACAATTTCATTCAAGGGACACATTCAGGACCCCCCCCCCCCCCCGTACAGTGTAGCTATGAGGACAACAACTAATCAAACATACATATTTTTTTGAACCAGGCTGTAAACATGTTAATTTCTGCTGTAAAAACAGGCTTTTTTTTAGAATGGGTGTGTATGTGACTTCCTGTGCTTCTGCAGCCAGCCTCTAGTGGACACTCCAGGAACTGCAGGATTTTTCAGCATTGACTTAATTTTTCAACACCTGAAGGTTGCTGCTCGGTCGAAACATCATATTAAATTAATAATTCGACATTAACTGTCTAAATGTTTTATTTTTTAGAAATATTTACATTTTTAATTTCAAACAAGTCATCTTGGATTCTGATTGGCTGACAGTCTCTAACCAATCAGGAGCTGGTTTCTGTCTTGCTGCCAGCCGATTGGGGGCTGTGTGTTCGTGGCCGTTTGCTCTGAGGCAGTTCTGATTGGTCGGCGTCCCTGAATCCCTCTGAGGTGATTTGGTATTGGACGGCACAGTCCATGTGACCAGAAGATTTAAAGATGGCCGCCAACCGTCTTGTCCCCGCCCAGTGAAAGAGGATCCTGATGTTAGGGCCGTGGCCCCAGTTCTCCCCAAGGGCGGGGACCAGCTGTGATCTGCTGCCTTGCAGGCTGTGGTCATCTGATTGGTCAACACCACGGCCAAGCTGTGGCTGGTTGCCATTGCGATGAGATTCTGGGCGAGGCCATTGAGGAGGCGTGTCTTCTGCCACAGCTCGCCAAAGTGCTGCCGGAAAGGAAACGCCACGCTGTCAATCACCAGGAGGCGGACCCTGGGGTGCTCAGCCAGGAAGTCAGGCAGCAGCTGGACCTCTGCCAGCAGCTCCACGTAGTCATGGCAACGCACCTGTGAGACAGCCAATCAGAATCATTCTATACGAAAGCATGACATCACAGGAACAGCTGTCACCATGACGATCTGTTAAAACATCAGCTACTCTGTCATCATCAAAATGTTATTTTTTTACTGATTTTTAATTTCTTCGATTACCAGAAAAATGTTGGACAGGATGTTTTCTACACTGAAGGTTGTCATGGCTACTCGTTGTTCGTCATCTTCGACCAATAGGGAGCAGTGTTGGACGGCAGCGGCGGCGATGTCGACGACTCTCTGCAGCAGGAAGCTTCCCGCAGTGTCGATGAAAACCGCCTGACCTCCGACACCCCCGAAACATGGCGGCACCTGAACGTCCACGGCCAGCTGCAGGCTGAGTGATGATGTCATCAACAACTTTATTGATACAGACACAGCAGACAAATTCAAGCTCACAGCCTCCTGTTGTCTGGGTTACCATGGTTACAGAGCAGAGGCGGTGCCTGTGATATGTGGTCACTGATGTCTGACTGTGTGTGTGTGTGTGTGTGTGTGTGTGTGTGTGTGTGTGTGTGTGTGTGTGTGTGTGTGTGTGTGTGGTGTGTGTGTGTGTGTGTCTCAGTGTGTGTGTGTGTGTCTCAGTGTGTGTGTCTCAGTGTGTGTGTCTCAGTGTGTGTGTGTGTGTGTCTCAGTGTGTGTGTGTCTCTGTGTGTGTGTGTGTCTCAGTGTGTGTGTGTGTGTGTCTCAGAGTGTGTGTGTGTCTCAGTGTGTGTGTGTGTGTGTCTCAGTGTGTGTGTGTGTGTCTCAGTGTGTGTGTCTCAGTGTGTGTGTGTGTCTCAGTGTGTGTGTCTCAGTGTGTGTGTGTGTGTCTCTGTGTGTGTGTGTGTCTCAGTGTGTGTGTGTCTCAGTGTGTGTGTGTGTCTCAGTGTGTGTGTGTGTGTGTCTCTGTGTGTGTGTGTGTGTGTGTGTGTCTCAGTGTGTGTGTGTGTGTGTCTCAGTGTGTGTGTGTGTGTGTCTCAGTGTGTGTGTGTGTGTGTCTCAGTGTGTGTGTGTGTGTGTGTGTGTGTCTGTCTCAGTGTGTGTGTGTGTGTGTGTGTGTCTCAGTGTGTGTGTGTGTGTGTGTGTGTGTGTCTCAGTGTGTGTGTGTGTGTCTCAGTGTGTGTGTGTGTGTGTGTGTCTCAGTGTGTGTGTGTGCGTGTGTGTGTGTGTGTGTGTGCGTATGTGTGTGTGTGTGTCTCAGTGTGTGTGTGTGTGTGTGTGTGTGTCTCAGTGTGTGTGTGTGTGTCTCACCACAGTTGTGTTTTTCCGGTTCCGGGCGCTCCACAGATTTCCGTGGTTTTCCCGACAGGAAGTCCTCCTCGGAGCGCCGTGTCGAGCTGCGAGGAGAAGGTGATGATGCTCCTCTGCTCGTCCTCCTCCTTTTGCAAAAGCTCCAGAGCGCTGACAGACGCTTCACCTCCTCCATCTCTGCTCACCGCCTGCAGCACCTCCAGCGCCTCCTGCTGGGACACACACGCCTCTGCAACACACACACACACACACACAGCAGAATGTAACTCTGACCCTAGTGTTTAAAATGGGTACTGCAGTCTAAATTCTAAACATCATAGAGTGCTGCCCCCTCCCTCTAGAGTTGAAGCTCACACAGGTCCCCATGTGGTGGACTCTGAAGCTTCAGTGTTTATCCAGCTCTGCATGGGTCTGTAAACCTTTCTGTGTTCTAACCTCTCTCCATTTTTCAAAAGCATCTCCAATATTGATCCTAGTTTGAGCACGTTTCTGCTCGTGGAGCTTATTAGAAACATGCAGAGGCTTTTTAGGTCGGGTACAATCACTTCTATCTGAACCACTTCTCTTGACCGCTTCCATCGCTGCAACACCTGTTGACCTGATAACTGCTCTCATATCTGACAAACCGAGGGGCGTCCAAAACGGCCGTGTGGGGGTGTCTTAAAACCACCTACCTTCTCTGGTCCAAACAAATCCAGAGCATTCAGGAGCAGAATCTAAAGTTAGAAGGAGGACATACTGGCTGCTGCATTGTTGTCAGAGAAGCCAGCACTTCAACATAGCATGTTTCCTTAATGATCAGAGAGTAAGATACCTTTATCATCTCACTCTCTACACAGCTCACTGATTGGATCTTTAAAAACGTATTCATCAGGGTTTGGTGGGTTAGTGTTACCTGAGCTCAGCTGTGTCGCTGTAACGTGCAGCAGGTCTGCAGTGAACTGGAAACCAGCACTGACCAGTTTGACCTTCACACTGGAGTTCAGAGACAGACTGGACACCGGTCTCTGCATCTTCACAGCTTTATGTTCACGTTAGCATCACTTCGAAACATCCCGCCATGACAGCTTTCTAGACCCGAACACACAAAACAAAACAAATACAGATCCGGTTTGACTTTTCAAAGTTGATTTTTAATGATCAAATCAAACACTTTAAAATACATTTACATGCTAGAATGGTCCAGTACACGTCAAACACTAAAATATAACTTACTTTCACACAAATAAATCCCCTCCTGCCGCCTTTTAATCAAAACCTTTCATTTTGTAATGACGCGTTCTTCCGACTTAAGTCTTATTTTGAAGGAGTAGCCAGGATGTTAGCTTGACGCTCCGTTTCGTCATCGAGACGCGACAGAGTTTTCACACGTGAGCTGATCTGCAGCGTAGTTTGATTAAAGAGCTGAGAGAATAGATGATAAATCAATCTAAGCTGGTTGACAAACCGCCAATAAACCAAAAAGAAGAAGTTTAAAGAAGAAGCTCAAACTAAAGGTGAGTTTGAAACCTGATAACATCCAGAGGAGCTCAGTTTGTAGTTTTAGATCTTTATCTGAGCTCAGTTTGTAGTTTTAGATCTTTATCTGAGCTCAGTTTGTAGTTTTAGATCTTTATCTGAGCTCAGTTTGTAGTTTTAGATCTTTATCTGAGCTCAGTTTGTAGTTTTAGATCTTTATCTGTTATTCTCTTGTATTGGTTTATCTTCTTTTGCCAAATCAATTTAATGCTGACACTAAACTACTGATTCAGAGAGGAAGTCCCCTGATGTCACATTCAACATGTGACTGGACGAAGTCAGGACCAGGACCAGGACCAGGACCAGGACCGGGTCCAGACTCAGAGATGTGGATACAAACAACACTTTAATCTAATGACTCTGATTTCTGTTTGATCTGCAGAGGATGAAGAGGAGAGAGGAAGAAGAGGAGGACGAGAAGGAGAGAGAGGAGAAGGAGGAGGATACAGCTCAGAGAGGAGAGGAGGTAGAAGAAGAAGAAGAGGAGGAGGTAGAAGAAGAGGAGGAGGTAGAAGAAGAAGAAGAAGAAGAAGAAGAAGAAGAGGAGGAGGAAAGAGCTGCTGCAGAGAGAGGAAGTGATGATGATGATGATGATGATGATATCAAGGTTAAGAAACATTCCAAGCAGAAAGGTGCTGGAGGGACTTCCTGTTCAGGCAGGAAGTCTGTTCCAGGTATCATCTACCTGGGACACATTCCTCCGAGGCTCCGCCCCAAACACCTGAGGAACCTGCTGTCAGCTTACGGAGAGATCGGACGCATCTTCCTCCAACCTGAAGGTACGTCGTGTATTTATTTACATTTATTTAAATGTCTCCTCTTTCCTTGTTTTGACTCCTCGTCCACTTGTCTCCTCTGTCCTTGTTTTGACTCCTCATCCACTTGTCTCCTCTGTCCATGTTTGACTCCTCATCCACTTGTCTCCTCTGTCCTTCTTTTGACTCCTCATCCACTTGTCTCCTCTGTCCATGTTTGACTCCTCGTCCACTTGTCTCCTCTTTCCTTCTTTTGACTCCTCATCCACTTGTCTCCTGTGTCCATGTTTGACTCCTCGTCCACTTGTCTCCTCTGTCCTTGTTTTGACTCCTCTTCCACTTGTCTCTGTCCATGTTTGACTTCTCGTCCACTTGTATCCTCTGTCCTTACTTTCCCTCCTCGTCCACTTGTCTCCTCTTTACTTGTTTTGAGTCCTCATCCACTTGTCTCCTCTTTCCTTGTTTTGACTCCTCGTCCACTTGTATCCTCTGTCCTTACTTTGCCTTCTTGTCCACTTGTCTCCTCTTTCCTTGTTTTGAGTCCTCGTCCACTTGTCTCCTCTTTCCTTGTTTTGACTCCTCATCCACTTGTCTCCTGTGTCCATGTTTTGACTCCTCGTCCTCTTGCCTCCTCTGTCCTTACTTTGCCTCATCATCAGCTTGTCTCCTCTTTCCTTGTTTTGACTCCTCGTCCACTTGTATCCTCTGTCCTTACTTTGCCTCATCATCAGCTTGTCTCCTCTGTCCTTGTTTTGACCCTCTCGACTCCTCTGTCCTCAGATGGTCAGGTGAGGAAGAGGAAGAAGAAGTCGGGCTTGAGGAGGTGTGACTTCACTGAAGGGTGGGTGGAGTTTTCCGATAAACGAGTCGCCAAAAAAGTCGCAGCGTCTCTGCACAACACGCCGATGGGCACCAGGAAACGCCAACGCTTCTCCTCTGACCTGTGGTCCATCAAGGTAAGTCCGCCCGGCAACTAGTGACATCACAGCCTAACCTGTGACATCACTGTAAAGCATGTCATTCTCTCACCTGTCTGTCTCTCACCTGTCTGTCTCTCACCTGTCTGTCTCTCACCTGTCTGTCTCTCACCTGTCCGTCTCTCACCTGTCTGTTTCTCACCTGTCTGTCTGTCACTTGTCCGTCTCTCACCTGTCCGTTTCTCACCTGTCTGTTTCTCACCTGTCCGTCTCTCACCTGTCCGTTTCTCACCTGTCCGTCTCTCACCTGTCTGTTTCTCACCTGTCCGTCTCTCACCTGTCTGTTTCTCACCTGTCTGTTTCTCACCTGTCTGTTTCTCACCTGTCCGTCTCTCACCTGTCTGTCTTTCACCTGTCCGTCTCGCACCTGTCCGTTTCTCACCTGTCTGTCTCTCACCTGTCCGTTTCTCACCTGTCTGTCTCTCACCTGTCCGTCTCTCACCTGTCTGTTTCTCACCTGTCTGTCTCTCTGCCTGTCTGTCTCTCACCTGTCTGTCTCTCACCTGTCCGTCTCGCACCTGTCCGTCTCTCACCTGTCTGTCTCTCTGCCTGTCTGTCTCTCACCTGTCTGTCTCTCACCTGTCTGTCTCTCTGCCTGTCTGTCTTTCACCTATCTGTCTCTCACCTGTCCGTCTCTCACCTGTCTGTCTCTCTGCCTGTCTGTCTCTCACCTGTCTGTCTCGCACCTGTCCGTCTCTCACCTGTCCGTCTTTCACCTATCCGTCTCTCACCTGTCCGTCTCTCACCTGTCCGTCTCGCACCTGTCCGTTTCTCACCTGTCCGTCTCTCACCTGTCTGTCTCTCACCTGTCCGTCTCTCACCTGTCTGTAGTACCTGCACAGGTTCCAGTGGACTCACCTGAGCGAGCGTTTGGCGTACGAGCAGACGGTGTTGCAGCAGAGATTAAGGACTGAAGTGTCTCAGGCGAAGCGGGAGACAAACTTCTACCTGAACAACGTGGAGCGGAGCGCTCACCTGGACAACGTGAGGAGGAAGAGGCAGAGAGACGGACAACAGGTAAAGTCATCTGAATCTACCTGTGACCTCTGGTGGAGTCACAGAGCTGTTGTCAGCTGTTAACACTTTTATTTGTTGTTGTCAGGTGGACGAGAAGACATGGGACTTCACGCAGCGGCAGACGGAGGACGAGATCCAGTCGAAGAAGAAGAAGAAGAACTCCGTTACCCAGAAGCACCTGAACAAGGCCCGCCTCATACAGCAGAAGAGCCAATCGAATGTCTCGCTGCTGGCCAAGATTTTCAACTCAAATAAATCAGAGTGACAGAAAAGGGACCTTGTTGGCTTTTTGGCAAGACTGTTGTCATGGGAACAGAAGGCAGACTGTGACACGCCCACCTTCAGGAGAGGACGGCTCAGTGAGGGAATGTTACCTGCTCAGGTGACAGTCAGACTCACCTGTACAGGATCTGAACCTGTCGTGGAAAGTCTCTCTGTGTTGTACATAAAATGATTGACGTGTTTTATCAGCCCCCCCCCCCCCCCCCCCCGACACACCTGTGTTACCTGAACTTCACTCTTGACTCCTCCAGAAGTTTGATGAATAAAGATGAGACAGGTGACAGAAACTATTTAAGGTTTTGATATTCAAAGTTATTTTACACATTTTTACGACGATCTCAATAAATCAGTTTAAATATATATATAATATAATATAATATCACTCTGTGTGTTCAGACTGTCTCACCTGATCAGGTATGAAAACATGATGGATGGAGGCGTGTGCATTCAAACACCTGAGTGAACCAACAGGTGATGCAGCTCATATGCAGCGGAGCTCCTCTTTGAAGCGACCTGATAATTAATAAAATATGAATAAAACAGATTTCTTTACCTGTTATTTACATCTGAACTGTGCTTAATTTTTTTGTATTAATTTACATATTTTTTATTAAAAGTAGAAATAATGTAAAACATTTATATATATGAAGATTTTGGTTAAATTTTTAATTATTGTTTTAATTATTTAGATTTAGTTTCATGACATCATAGAGGTGAAGCAGTTTAGTGATCAACATGTTTATGTTTACTGATTACTGCTGGGGTTACCGTACCGTGACGTCACTCCCGTGCTGTTGCGTGTTCTCGGTGAGGAGGACACACCGGAGGAGCGCAGCAGCAACATGGCTGCAGATTACTGGGAGCCACAACGATCCGACACTCTTTCAGCCTGAACCGAGCCAAAGACAACCCGGGCCGGACCGGGACAAATCACCCCGGTGAGTAGGACAATCCCGCCGGCCTCCAGGTGTCAACGGGGAACGGTTTTATTTACGACGTTAACGGAGCAGCAGCCCTCACCGACAAACCGCTCCGCCCCCGCTGCTATTAATAACACTGAGGACATTAACTGCAGGACATAGACGGGCCCGTCCTCAGCTCACTGATACACAAATATGTAGAGAATAAACACAGAATATAGACGGCACCACAGAGGAACCCAGAACATAGACGGCACCACAGATGAACACAGAACATAGACGGCACCACAGAGGAACACAGAACATAGACGGCACCACAGAGGAACACAGAACATAGACGGCACCACAGAGGAACACAGAACATAGACGGCACCACAGAGGAACACAGAACATAGACGGCTCCACAGAGAACCCAGATAATAGACGGCTCCACAGAGAACCCAGATAATAGACGGCTCCACAGAGAACCCAGATAATAGACGGCTCCACAGACAAACGCAGCATGTTAGCTGTCAGGTAGATGACCTGTCATTCAGGTGTTAGCATGTTAGCATGTTAGCTGTCAGGTAGATGACCTGTCATTCAGGTGTTAGCATGTTAGCATGTTAGCTGTCAGGTAGATGACCTGTCATTCAGGTGTTAGCATGTTAGCATGTTAGCTGTCAGGTAGATGACCTGTCATTCATTTGTATGGTATTTAATTGTGACATTCCAGCCCTCATGTCCTGTGTGTGTGTGTGTGTGTGTGTGTGTGTGTGTCCAGGTGTGGTCTCCAGGCTGGCTGCCCCGCCCCCTTCAGCATCCCGCCCCCCTCTGCCCCCCCGGGCCCCCCTCATGGAGAGGATGAGGAAGATCAAACGACAGCTGTCACTCACTCTGGGAAGGGGAGGGGCTGCAGGAGGGGACAGCATAATGGGTGACACAATCAACCAGGAAGTGACATCACACAGTGACTCAGGTAACACACGCAACAGGTGACCTTTATCAAACCTGACCATCATTACCTCACGATGTTTCTTTACAGTGTTTCCCCAGTTCCGGTGTTAAACTGGGACCAGCTCCGGTGTTGAACTGGGACCAGCTCCGGTGTTGAACTGGGACCAGTTCCGGTGTTGAACTGGGTCCACCTCCGGTGTTAAACTGGGACCAGCTCCGGTGTTAAACTGGGACCAGCTCCGGTGTTGAACTGGGACCAGCTCCGGTGTTAAACTGGGACCAGTTCCGGTGTTAAACTGGGACCAGTTCCGGTGTTAAACTGGGAACAGTTCCGGTGTTAAACTGGGAACAGCTCCGGTGTTAAACTGGGACCAGTTCCGGTGTTAAACTGGGACCAGCTCTGATGTTAAACTGGGTCCAGCTCCGGTGTTAAACTGGGACCAGTTCCGGTGTTAAACTGGGACCAGTTCCGGTGTTAAACTGGGTTAATTTCATGTTTTAAACTGGGACCAGCTCCGGTGTTAAACTGGGACCAGATCCGGTGTTAAACTGGGTCCAGCTCTGGTGTTAAACTGGGACCAGCTCCGGTGTTGAACTGGGACCAGATCCGGTGTTGAACTGGGACCAGCTCCTGTGTTAAACTGGGACCAGTTCCGGTGTTAAACTGGGAACAGCTCCGGTGTTAAACTGGGACCAGCTCTGATGTTAAACTGGGTCCAGCTCCGGTGTTAAACTGGGACCAGTTCCGGTGTTAAACTGGGTTAATTTCATGTTTTAAACTGGGTCCAGCTCCGGTGTTAAACTGGGACCAGATCCGGTGTTAAACTGGGACCAGATCCGGTGTTGAACTGGGACCAGATCCGGTGTTGAACTGGGACCAGCTCCTGTGTTAAACTGGGTCCAGCTCTGGTGTTAAACTGGGACCAGCTCCAGTGTTGAACTGGGACCAGATCCGGTGTTGAACTGGGACCAGCTCCTGTGTTAAACTGGGACCAGCTCCGGTGTTGAACTGGGACCAGCTCCTGTGTTAAACTGGGACCAGCTCCGGTGTTGAACTGGGACCAGCTCCGGTGTTAAACTGGGTCCAGCTCCGATGTTAAACTGGGACCAGCTCCTGTGTTGAACTGGGACCAGCTCCTGTGTTGAACTGGGACCAGCTCCGGTGTTAAACTGGGTCCAGCTCCGATGTTAAACTGGGACCAGCTCCTGTGTTGAACTGGGACCAGCTCCGGTGTTGAACTGGGACCAGCTCCGGTGTTAAACTGGGACCAGCTCCTGTGTTAAACTGGGTCCAGCTCCTGTGTTAAACTGGGTCCAGCTCCGGTGTTGAACTGGGACCAGCTCCTGTGTTGAACTGGGACCAGCTTCGGGTGTGATATTGAGCTCAGAGCAGCAGGATGTTGTTTCTAAATCATATTCAGCTCCCACTACCACCACTGACTCCAGACTGGTTTAACTGGGCAGTTATTAAATTCATCAGTTTCATAAGAAGTAGAATCTTTGTTGATGTTGTGACATAAAGACGTCTCACTGTGGTTTAGTAGACACGTGTTGGTTATCCAGGGACTTTGTGGGATTATGTCCTTAGTGGTGGACAAAGTTTTCCTTCCTGCTCTAAAGTAAAAGTCCCTCTGTGATGTCCGTTAGGTGTGTTTGAGCTCCGTGTGTTTAACATTTGTTAAAGAAAACATGACGACGATGTGAAGGAGGCGTGTCCTAACATATAACACTGTTCTCTCTAAAAGATGAGTCACACTAGCGTCTCCTCCGCCATTGTTGTTGACAAAGCCTAATGTTGTATGTCCCACCCCGTCTTGATTCTGATTGGTCAGTGACATTTTGAACAGTGACGTTGACTTTTCAACTGATGTCAAATCTTATGTCGTCGTCGGTTATTTCACGTAAAGTAACGAGTGCTTTTAAATTTCTGTATTTGCGACGGCATGATTGAAAAGTAACTTGATACACGACTAGTTACCAAAAGTGTAATTACAGTATTATTCAGATTAATCAATCAATACTGAACTAATAAGATAATCAATCAATTAATTGATCAATGAATTGATCAATCAGCCTCTTTCTTCTTTCTTTGTAACTCTTTTTCCTGCTTTTTTTTTTCTACTCGATCAACCAATCAACATCCTCAATCACACCTAAACCCTGCCCACTACATAACCTCTCCTTCATGACCCCCCCCCCCCCCCCCCAAACAGAGGTGGTGTCTCGTCGTGGTTCTTCTTCTTCTTCTTCTTTGAAGGTTCGAGGTTCTTCTTCATCAGTAACGTCTCTTCTTCAGTCGTACGGCCGGAAGCCAAGAAACCTCGGACGCAGCCTGAGCTCCTACTTGAACCACACCACCCGCCTAGGTACACACACACACACACACACACACACACACACACCACACACACACACACACACACACACACACACACACACACACACACACACAACACACACACACACACACACACACACACACACACACACACACACACACAACAAACTGCTGTGTTGTGCTGTTTGCATTACTGTTTTTTCTGAAATTATTTATAATGGTGTGTGTGTGTGTGTGTGTGTGTGTGTGTGTGTGTGTGTGTGTGTGTGTGTGTGTGTACTGTCAGAGATCGTCCATGAGGACGTGAAGATGAGTTCCGACGGTGAAAGTGATCCTTCATCAGAGGAAGTTCAGAGTCCAGTTAGAGTCCGCATGAGGAACAAGAAAATCTCCTCCGAGGTACACACTCATAATACACACTCATAATACACACTCATAATACACACTCATAATACACACTCATTCACAAAAATACACACTCATAATACACACTCATTCACAAAAATACACACTCATAATACACACTCATTCACAAAAATACACACTCATACTACACACAAATACACAAAAAGTTTTTCTCCACCTGTCTGTCTCTGTCTGTTTTTCTGCAACTGTCTGTCTCTACCTGTCTGACTCTCTCCATCTGTTTTTATCTACCTGTTTTTCTCTACCTGTCTGTCTCTCCATCTGTTTTTATCTACCTGTCTGTCTCTTTCCATCTGTTTTTATCTACCTGTTTTTCTCTACCTGTCTGTCTCTCCATCTGTTTTTCTCTACCTGTCTGTCTCTCTCCATCTGTTTTTATCTACCTGTTTTTCTCTACCTGTCTGTCTCTCCATCTGTTTTTCTCTACCTGTCTGTCTCTCTCCATCTGTTTTTATCTACCTGTCTGTCTCTCTCCATCTGTTTTTCTCCACCTGTCTGTCTTGTTTTACCTGTCTGTCTCTCTCCATCTGTTTTTATCTACCTGTCTGTCTCTCTCCATCTGTTTTTATCTACCTGTCTGTCTCTCTCCATCTGTTTTTATCTACCTGTCTGTCTCTCTCCATCTGTTTTTCTCCACCTGTCTGTCTTGTTTTACCTGTCTGTCTCTCTT